CAGTATGACTCAGAAAAAAGCCAAACCGGCGATGTCAGTGTTCAAACACGTGAACTCCAAGCCATGTGAGCTTTGATCTGACCCCCCACAACAGATGATGCTATCAGAGGTCATGAACCCCTGAACCCTGCAAAGCATTTACAGTGAGCATATCAAATAAGTATTCGGAAGATTGTTACAGATATCACTGATTAGATATACTGTATGTTTGTGTGTGTCTACTCATGTGGTTTGTATTAGCCGAGTCCTCTGATCTCATGTCAGATACACTTATTCAGAGGCATTGGATCTTAGACCAATATGAAATGGATCACCAGAGGTTTGCAGGAAAAAGCTATGGCTGTTTGCAAATAGAATACCAGTATATGTACATTACTCTTTATATCGCAAATAATTTATTTCTTAATTATTTTATATGCCTATTATTTATTTTCCGATTTTGTTTAAAAGTTAGGATGTATTCATTTTCACACAGACAAGTACTGTTGTATGAGAAAAATGTGCATACTCTGCTCTTTATAGCACAATGCTAAAATAGTATGAGTACTGTTAGTATAGTGTCATGCCACTATACCAGCACTATTCACTATTTTTATGAATTGAATGCAAAGAGAAGGACATGAGCAGGCTTACTTCTGTGGATTTGAGTAACATCCTCCTGCCTTTTTATGTTGCCTCCGATTTGCTCAAGTGTGTGTGTTTGTTGCGTGTTTAGTGTAAAGCTGGCAGTAGCTCTGCATTCAGCTCTAATAGAGATCTACTGTATGAAAACAGAGAACAGATGTGGCGTAAAGCTCCTCTTCAGATAACCTGACCTTATAAGAGCAAGTCTATAACTTTTTTCCAAAAGCTTATATGAGCTTTTTGGCTTGGACCTGCTACAGATGATTGCATCCATGTGCTTGTTCGTGTATGTTGTGTAATTATGTTTGGAGACCAAGAACTTCAGAACAGAGACAGTTTGACAAACAATCATATACTATGAATATTAAGTATATCAAATTGCTTCTTGATTCTGCTTCTTAGTAAATGATTAAGTGACTTGGTCTGTTGTTGCCTCTCTGTTCATCTATGCCTAGGAGACACATTCCGAGGAAACCATGCGGTTTTATTTGATTGTTTTTTTTTGTTTCATTTTGTTTTGTTCGTTTCATTTAGTGTCATTAGTTTCATTTAGTTTCATTTCATTTCGCATCTTACTGTATGTATTCAGGTTGATTCAGTCATATGAAATATTTTAATTTATGTATATATATATACACTCACCGGCCACTTTATTAGGTACCCCATGCTAGTAACGGGTTGGACCCCCTTTTGCCTTCAGAACTGCCTCAATTCTTCGTGGCATAGATTCAACAAGGTGCTGGAAGCATTCCTCAGGGAGTTTGGTCCATATTGACATGATGGCATCACACAGTTGCCGCAGATTTGTCGGCTGCACATCCATGATGCGAATCTCCCGTTCCACCACATCCCAAAGATGCTCTATTGGGTTGAGATCTGGTGACTGTGGAGGCCATTTTAGTACAGTGAACTCATTGTCATGTTCAAGAAACCAATTTGAAATGATTAGAGCTTTGTGACATGGTGGAAGTAGCCATCAGAGGATGGGTACATGGTGGCCATAAAGGGATGGACATGGTCAGAAACAATGCTCAGGTAGGCCGTGGCATTTAAACGATGCCCAATTGGCACTAAGGGGCCTAAAGTGTGCCAGGAAAACATCCCCCACACCATTACACCACCACCACCAGCCTGCACAGTGGTAACAAGGCATGATGGTTCCATGTTCTCATTCTGTTTACGCCAAATTCTGACTCTAACATCTGAATGTCTCAACAGAAATCGAGACTCATCAGACCAGGCAACATTTTTCCAGTCTTCAACTGTTCAATTTTGGTGAGCTCTTGCAAATTGTAGCCTCTTTTTCCTATTTGTAGTGGAGATGAGTGGTACCCGGTGGAGTCTTCTGCTGTTGTAGCCCATCCGCCTCAAGGTTGTGCGTGTTGTGGCTTCACAAATGCTTTGCTGCATACCTCGGTTGTAACGAGTGGTTATTTCAGTCACTGTTGCCCTTCTATCAGCTCGAACCAGTCTGGCCATTCTCCTCTGACCTCTGGCATCAACAAGGCATTTCCGCCCACAGAACTGCCGCTCACTGGATGTTTTTTCTTTTTCGGACCATTCTCTGTAAACCCTAGAGATGGTTGTGCGTGAAAATCCCAGTAGATTAGCAGTTTCTGAAATACTCAGACCAGCCCTTCTGGCACCAACAATCATGCCACGTTCAAAGTCACTCAAATCAACTTTCTACCCCATACTGATGCTCGGTTTGAACTGCAGGAGATTGTCTTGACCATGTCTACATGCCTAAATGCACTGAGTTGCCGCCATGTGATTGGCTGCTTAGAAATGAAGTGTTAACGAGCAGTTGGACAGGTGTACCTAATAAAGTGGCCGGTGAGTGTATATATATATAATATTCTCCCTCGTAGTCTGTGATCTTTCACTTGCTAAATGCGAATGCTAGAATTACTCTAACTAAAACCCCTCTTTCGGTTCTCTTGGCCGATTAAAGGATTCAGTCAGAATACCTCTTTTATATTCTTTCAAATCAAACTTTTTGATGCCTGCTGCATATGCTACTTCTGTTTTCACCACCCTAATTGAAAAGAAAGCCTGCCTTATAGTGTGAGGGATTGTCTGACAGCATGACAGTTCTATATAGGATTACAATCCACAATCCACAGGATTACATTAAACACTCTCAGTAAAGCCACTTCAGGCTTTCATAACAAAGGCCGTATTTCATTGAGCAGATGGGACATCTGTACGGCACTTCTCACAATGGACCCAGTTTAATTACACTTTCGTTTTTGCATTGATCAGTGTCGAAGAAAGCATGGCACAAATGCATCAGCTTATCTGCCACTTCTAAGTCTCTTTGTTGGTTGGACACTCACACTGACCTGTAATACAACATCTGTCCAATCAAGTTCTCATCTGACAAAATACGTTTGTTTCAGGCCAAGAGAAGAAAGAGTTATATTTGAGAAGAGCCTTTAAAGGTGGACATTTTGCCCTTATTAACAAAGTTTCACAACCATAAATGTTTTTGTTTTTTTAATTTAAATAAATTCCTCGTCATTCTATGCTACTAATATGTAATGAATAAAATGGCCTGAAAAAAGTTGTTTAAAAATATCCCAAATTGTTAGATAAACAGTCTAACTTTCTTTTATCGCAACTTTCCTTTTTTTCTGTCAAAGTTTCATTTTGATTGTCAACTGCTTTACTTTCATCCAATATAGAGCGAGGCTTGATCCCGCTGGAATGGTTTTAAATGTTTGATCCTTTGCAGAAAGCTGCTAATCTCCTGCTTGTAAATTTTTATGTCTTTTAGTGCACTACAGCTGAGGGCTTTGTCTCCAATGTCGGCTTATTAAAACAGCCCTCTTAAGTATGTGTCTTTCCTCTCAGAGGGCTTAAGACTCTCACTTGAAACAAACTTTTAATGATAGAAGCTAAGCAGAGAGTTCTTATGGAATCTGAAAGGGTGTGTGAGAGCTGGGAAGGCAGAGACTTGACCGTGTTGGTCGCTGAGAGTAGGATCTGATGTACGGCAATAATCCTGGCTTTTCTATCAGCGCGGGTTATTCACTTTGATCCGCGGAGATTGTTTCTGTTGGTCTCTCTGCACTTTGTTACCAACACGCATGGCTCAGTAAAGCTTTCAAGCTTAAATGTTCACACACACCCTGAAAACATGCGCACATGCTGTGAATGCATGGCAAAATTATATAGCAATACCACTTACATCCCTAAATTTGAAGGATAATTCATATCTGTAACAAATGGTGCTCACGAACTTTAATTCGAAGAGTTAGGAGTCTCTAAATATGAAATATCACCAAAGAGTTTCACAGAACCTGTAAGATGACTTAAGAGAATGAATAAATATTGTCACATTCGCTTTCATCAACTTTAAATTGTTCTCATTTTTTATTCTACTCCCCAGTTCCTCTCATTCATACTGGTTTTGTGAAATCTTCATCAACCAGATGTTCTTGATTCATTATTCTCTGGTGGTATGAAGGCAGAAGGATGCATCATCAAGCGCTGATCTCAAGTTCATCCACTGACTCCCCTGCATCACTGTAAAAACCTGAGAGTACCTGACCTTGGAAGAAACTCTTTATTCCATCATTTTCTTCTCCAGGGAATGGAAAAATGACAGATGAGAGCGATAAAATGAAGGGTTTTTGTTCTTTCATGTTTTCTTTGCCCTCGGAATGTGAATTAATTGCACGCATTTTCCTTTCCGGAGGGATGCTAACTTTTCACCGGCTCTGATGCATAAAGCGCTAGATGGTTTCCGCCAGGCTCGGATGAGCCTTCTGATTTATGCTGGGCTGCTCAGAATCAAAAGCCCGCTCGTGTTTGCACGCACACACTGTGTGCAGGTACGAACAAGAAAATCCCTGTTAAGTTGTCTTGTGGCACTTTGTCGAGAACAGCGGCAGGAACTTGGGGAATGTTACGTGGCCTCGAGAAGCCCCTGTGCAAAGTGTTAAGGAAGGGGGCAAGCAAAAGAGTCAACGGAGAGCCGGTCTTCTAAAGTGGAGCCAGACCCGATGGCTCCCGTGAGGGACTTCAGGGGTCGGCGGAGCAGGCTCACTGCTGTCATTTAGCCTGTTTGGTTTGTTTGACCCTTGACCCATAACAAGGGGCAAGGCCACAGGGCAGGCGTCAGGCGGCGCGCCTGCTTTAATTTGTCCATGAGGAACCTTGTGTATGCAGACACATGAAAGCGAAGGGGAAAGCTAGGGTGGAGAAAGCTATGGAAACTTTAAAACAACTCCATTTTTATCCATCAAAGGGCGATTTTATTGTCTTGAGTGCTTACATTTTTGACACAGGAGTGCAACCAGCACCTCAGAATATCTTTCCAGACTCAAAACTCACCTGTTTCTCTTTCTTTTTCCACTGTATTTCTGCAGGACTGTGGCCTGGTGGTCAGACCAGATCAGCCCTGCGGTTTGGAGCCCATTCCAGGGCCGAGATCTTCAGGAGAGGCCCAGGTCTCGCCTCGGCCTTGCCTCTCAGGAGATGAACCTGGTAGGTTTCTTCCAGGTTTTGATCATGGGTAGTAAAGTATCTGAAATTTGAATCAGAAACTTGCTGTAAGATTTACAGTCCTGTTTTTTATATGTAAGGTAGTAACTCAAAAAGTCATACCGGTCGCAGATTGTCTGTTTTGTGGACAGAGGATTAATTTTCCACCTATTTTTCTTCTGAATGACAGTGTTGGCCCTAAAACCAAATTTCAGTTGCAAAGTAGTTAATCGTGTGTTTGGCTATATTAGCACGAGATTCGCAGTTTATAAGCCGCTCCACTAGAGGATGGGAAAGTTTTGCTAGTGAACTCAGAGTTTGGTAATTTATGTCTGCTTTTACAGTGTGATAATGTACTGATTCATGGCTTGAGTTGAATCATTGCTCAATTATAAGGTTAGGGCCTCAGTGCTGACTTTATGGGGAAAATAATCATTTCATACAGGTTTTTTGTGTGAGCTTTCCTTCTGCAGGTTTCTCTTCAGTGAGTGTATGTTCAGCTGCTAGGCCTTTTAGATGTAAAGCCACCAGGTTAGAGTTCAGAGGAGGTTTTCAGTCAGTGTAGTATAAAAGTAAAAAGACCGTCCTCAGCTGGGTAGTGCATCAAAGACAGCGGGGAACTACTTTAACTAACTGTTCGAGATGGAGTCATAAACTTTGTTTGTGCGTGAGAACCCATCTAATTACATTTCCTTTTGAAACTCAAAAATCTGAACCGTTTTCAAATCACTTTTTCTGAAATTAATTAGCACTCTGAAATTAAATCAAGGTGTATTTATCAAATGCACAACAATACAGAATGCAACCGTAATCTCCAAATAAATGACAATGAAATTATGCGAGCTAAATGTATTTTATGGATAAAAGGTCAAACGAAAAAGAGCAATTAAAAAGAAAAATATGTGATTTATATAACCGGCACAATGAAGTAATCATGTCTAGCTGCAATGTTTCCCACCTGATTCAGCATTTTATGGTCAACTTTTGATATACAGCTGTAGAAGACTTTAAAACTTCACAGAGATTCTCTCCACTGTGAATCAAATGCGAACACTGTAATTTGAGTAGATCTTGTCATAGAAATTTAGTATAGTGCACTATAAAGAATATTTTACATCTCTGTCAGGTCGTTGGGTCGTCCCTTGCCTGAGCTGCTCAGATAACAGGACTTGTGATTGGAGAGAGGTTGCCTGGCAACCCGACAGATGTTATCACCCCTTGCTGGACCAACCTCAGTTGCAAACCTGCATGATGGACCGGAAGGTGAGGAACCAGGAACCAAAAACAATGTGTGTGTGTGTGTTTAAAGGAAGTCTCTTATTCTCACCAATGCTACATTTATTTGATCATAATACAGTAATATTGCGAAATATTACTACAATTTAAAATAACTGTTTTCTGTTTTAATATACTGGAAAATATAATGTATTTCTGTGATGGCAACGCTCAATTTTCAGCATCATTACTCCAGTCTTCAGTGTCACATGATCCTTCAGAAATCATTCTAAAATGCTGATTTGCTGCTCAATAAACATTTCTTATTATTATCAATGTTGAAAACTAATATTTCTGTGGAAACCATGATACATTTTTTTCAGGATTCTTTTTCAGGATGAAAAAGTTTAAATGAACAGCATTTATTTGAAATAGAAATCTTTTCTAACATTATAAATGTCTTTACAGTCATTGTTGATAATTTAACAATTTCTTTTTATTTTTATTTTTTTATAAATATTACTGACCCCAAACTTTTGTAAAGGCCCATTCACACCAAGGATGATAACTATAAAGATATCATTCTCAATATTAAAGAATAGCAGAGTTCACACCACAGCTATAACGATAACACCACAAATAAACAATATTGTTGGAATCACTTTTAGAACGATTTTATCTACCTGATGAACGATACGAACTTTGATAGCCAATCAGAATCCATCCTGCTATAACGAGCTCAAGCATTTAAAGTGGCAGACAAGCATGCGCTTAGAATAAACAGAATGGTATCGTCCGCTGGTATGGATGCTAATATAGTTATTGTTATAGTTACCGTTGTTGGTGTAAACGGGACAATATTTTAATGACTCGTTAATGGAAATTATTATAAAGTGTTTCCAGTACTCTTTAAATCAACTGTTTGAAATTGCTCTCTTCCCTGCAGTTGATGTTAAAATACATTTCACTGGTTCTTCTGCAGCTGACAGCTTTGCCATATGTGTGTATATACAGTACTAAAGAATAAATTAATGTGGAAGGCAGGCAGCTCAAATAGCATTGAAGTTCCATTGGCAGAAAGCAGCTGTTTATCAGAGACCAACAGCAGGTGCTGAGCTCACATCAGCCGCATGATTCAATTACACTGCTGCTATTAAAGTATGCTGTAAATTCCTCAGAAAGAAGAGGGAAAATGATTCTGGGAAAGAAAACCATACTCTCTTGTGTTTGCAGCTACATTTTATTTTTATTTTATTTTTTAGCTTAATGTGATCTGCTCACCTCCCTGTGTTTTGGGTTGTTTTTAAATGATTGCCTAAAGCCCAGCAGGGGTTTTCAGAGCCGTGTGCCAAACCTACAGTCTGTTCCCGCTTCAAACACTCCCTCAGCACTCATCTTCACAGCATAACTCTTTCCACTTTTCTCGATTTAAGATTCACAAAATCAGATCTGACACATACAAATAGGCCCAAGCTCTCGCTATGCAGACAGGCCACAACATTCTGACTGCGAGCCCATCAAACAGGAAAACAGTGACTCTTCAGGAAAGATTGTTTCAAATAAAAGAGCTTTAGATTGTCAAGGACTAGAGTTATACTCATGAATTTGTTTCATGTTAAATCCATTTCTGCAGTCTCAAGGCACCCCTGTGCTTCGTTTTGAGTTCACAGTGTAATTTCAAATTTGTATGCTATTAATTTTCCTGTACAAAATACATTTAATAAAAATAGTAGTACAGCTATTGCCATATATATATATATATGATATATAATTTATCTTATCTACAGCCTCTGGACACTGTATGAACTGTTGTTGTATTCCACTGGGGAAAAAATACATAATACAGGTTTGGAACAACATGAGTGCAACTTCTGACTTCTTACTGAAAGTTTTTATCCTTAATCTTGTAAGTATGTCTCTAATGTCCGCTCCCTGAGATCTTGTGATTCAGACTGGCATTCCTGCCAACCTCACTCCAAAAACGCACACACAGACGAACATCCAAGCTTATCCGACTCTTGTGAAGTGTTTCGTGGCGACTGTGATCTCAGCAGAGCATATTGTATTTTTAACCCTTATAATGACATTGTTTATTCACTTCCTTGCATTTGGGTTGACTGCAGTCTGGTGCTCATAAGGGACTTTTTTAATCATTTTAATAATCATAATTATGTAGGCCTATTTATTTAGCATTCATTAAATAATATTTTTTTTGCAGTATTCCTTTTTTGACCTTTCTTTCAGTGATTTAAATCAAATAAAAAAATCTGTTTTTGAATTGGTAAGATTTATGCCAGTCTAATACTATAAATATGCCGTATTCATTACACAAATATACTTGAAGTACTTATACTAGAAGCTTCCTGAAAAAAGAAGTGAGTAGTATTTTGAACCAATGTGTTTGGAAACATAAATCCTCACATGAGATAAAGAGACTAAAATCAGTGGCTTAGAAAAAGCGTTTTCAGTGGGCCTAGTGTTGGGTGTAATTAATTACTGTAATTTTATGCAATACTTTTTAGAGAGACTAATTAACACAGTAATCTAATTGCATTGTTGAATATGTATTTAGTAGCTAGAAATTAATAACTTTTTTTAGAGTAACTTACCCAACACTGGGTGGACCCCTCTTGGAGGCAGCCATGTTGAGATCACATGACCAGCAAAATATTAATTTGGTAACCCGGCTATTATGTTTTGAAAACCTTTTGGAAAGGAATGTGGTAAAAGAAGCCGCATAGTAAAACACATGAAGACTGACTTGTTCCTTTTAAATGGAGGATTGTGTGTATTTTTGACTTGACAAGATCTGGGTTTAAGAAGTCAGTCCATGTCTTACAACATCTGACGTATGTGCATGTTTTCACCCAGGTCTTGTTTATCGGTGACTCCACCAATCGAGGGATGATGTACTATCTGATGGAAAGGGTGAACACCACGCTGGAGGACTGGGACAAGGCCCACGACACCATCATCTACCACAACCTGAACCAGGGCCGAACTATCGCCAGCTACTCCTACTACCCACAATTCTGGCTGCCAAAGTCCCAGAGACCCACCTTCCAAAGAGCTCTGCAGCAACTTCTAGAAAGGTGTGTGTGTGTATTGTGTGTGTGTGTACGAGCACTCTGGAGGACGTTTGTCTCCATGTGGCTGTGGATTACACCCATTAAGCTGTGAATGTGAGGGTTTGGGACGGTGGTAAAGGCCTTGTTAACACACTGAATGACTTTGGCAGCGTGTTTGATGGTGGGATGTGGGCTGTATGTGGTTGGGAGTCTATGTGTCAGATCAGAGTATCTCAGCAGGGACATTAACCGCTGCTGGCTCAGCGCGCTGTTGATCTCACACAGCTACTGATGTGGGCAGAAGGGTGGGATATGCAGCACAGATGTGATTGTGTTTGTGTTTGAGTGTGTTTTTAGTGTGCATCTGTTAGGGACATGTGTTTTGGGAGCTGCTTGAATGATCTGACAATTTTTGTTTTTTGCAAAATGAAATTAATAAGCAGGATTTCGATTTTGCAAACGGAACAATTTGCAGTTTGAATACATTTTTTTATTTTTTTTGTGGGTCAGTTCTTGGCATCAATGGCATGGATCGTTGGTTATGTTTTCAGGTTGATCTTTAACCTCTTCTTTAAAACCACTTCCACCGGGACAGGTCACAACCCTTGGAGAACTCACCTCAGACAGTGCTGGTCGCTGGAGGGGTGCAGTGGCTGAACCTGAACCATTTGAGGACCATTCAACAGGTTTTACAGAGGTAAACATGTACCCAAATGCCAAACAAACCCAGCCTGTTCATTATTAGCTTGAGTTGACCACATTTTAATTAACAAATTTCCAATGGCAAATACTTTTCTTCCTTTTTAAAGTTGCTGGTTTTGCTTTGTGTGGTTTACTACCAATCTGACTGTGTGGCTTTTAATACTTAACATCATATCTCTAATTTATCTCCAAGGGAGGGTCTTGAGAACATCATGGTGGTGGTGAAGTCTTTAGGAATGGGTTTCCATCTGCCTGTGGATGGTATTCGCTCCCTTCCACTGGTAAGGACCACTGGAGACCATGAGAGGTCCTTGGATCTGGTCTGTATTCATTCATTAATTGACAGTCTTTATCATCTTCATTCATTGTTTCTAGAATGGAGTGCAAGAACTCTATAATGTGAACAAGAATATTCTGGAAAGTGCCAAGCATCTTGGATTTGAGGTCATTGACACTCTCAGCATCACCATGGGTCGTTATAAGGAGTTCCTGCAGGGACGATGTGCCTGCCATTTTCATGAGGTAAAAGAAAAAAGAGATTTACACTACCGTTCAAAAGTTTGGGGGAAAAATTTATATTTTTATAAAGCGAGAACTCATTATATAAGGATGCATTTATAATATTACAAAATATTTGTATTTCAAATAAATGCTGTTCTTTTGAAGTGCTGTTCTTCCTAATCATCAAGAATATTTTCAAGAATCAATGGACACTGAAGACTGGAGTAATGTTATTTTAAATTATAATATTTATTTATTCCAATATTGCTGTTTTTACTGTATTTTTATGAAATAAATGCAGCCTTGTTGAGCATAAGAGGCTTCTTTTAAAAACATTACACAATCTTACAGCCCCCAAACTGTTCAATAGTAATTCTGTACTACAGTAAAAAGTGTTATTCAATTATTTAAAATGAATGAAAGTCCAGTTATGCTGATTACAGACCTGCCTCGCATAGACGCTTCTATTAATTTATTTTAAAGCAAAAAGAACATAACTTATTTTAATAACCATGTTGTTAAACCAGGATCTCTGTGCTAATTCTGTAAATTTGTATCTGTAGTTATATTATTATGGATGTAATTTACTGCACAGAAGGTACAACTAATTGACATTGTATTTTTTAGATCCACACATACATGTGTGTGAATGAAACAGTTCTACCAATCACACTCCTGTAGATCCTGCTAGAAAAACCCTTTTCCAGCCTTCCAGTCCCATAAATCTTTTACAAGAAAAGCCATTCCTTTTTTTACTTCACCCTAAATGTGATTTGCGGATCAGTTAATGAGTAATTAGCAATTAGGCAGGTTTTTATTAGCCAATAAAGAGCAGGTTGGGAACAGATGTATTAGCTCACTAAGTGTGTGAAGTGGTGGTAGAAACACCAAACCTGCTCACATATGGGACTGATATCACTGTAGAACGGCCACATCTGACAACAGGCCAGCAGATTTAGACCAGACAAACTTAACGACATGTAACATCAGGGTCTTTTGCTTAAGTTTTAAAGGAGCCTTTGTTTGGTTTTTGACTTTTTTTGTTATTTAGTGCTTAGAGGAAACAAGTTCTTAACCGTTAAGTATTTTGTAGAGCAGGGAGCTAATAAGAATTGGCCATTTAAAGTGGATATAAAACTCAAATTGGATAAAAACTAGATTCCTAATTTAAAAAATGTGTCCCATGTCAGAGAACGGAGCCACACACAGAGGTTATAATAACTTATGAACCATTAAAGAAAGACCTAATGTGAGCTTCAAGGTGGTTAACCAATGGTTTATGCTTTTGTTGAACCCGCATTGTTTTGTGACGAGCAATTTTTTCTATAGATATACTCAACAACTTTAAAGTAATACTTTTATATTTCTACATTTTTAATTTGATTGTTGTTCGCAATGCTTCATGGGATTGTAGTTTTTTTCCCCCTTATTAAAACCATTAAGTACACAGCCTTGTACCTTTTGTCTTTTTGTCCAATTTTCAAATACTTTTTTTGCTTCAAATAAACTTTGCATTGTTGTGATTTTGTGATTCACCTCGTTGCTGGTTGGCTTGGTTCATGACTTACAAATCTTTAACGAAAACTTTTTAAAGTCCCAAAGGGAAAAATACTTCCACAAACAACGCTGCTAAAAAGTGGATGGGCACTAATGCTATAATATGGCAAAGATCAGGGGTTTTCAAACCTGTGTAGGAGCACCCCACTGCACATTTTGTATGTCTCCCTCATCTTACACACCTTATTCAACTCCTCACTTCATTAGTAGAGACTGCAAGACCTGAATTGGGTGTATATAAGGGAGACGTACAAAATGTGCAGTGCTCCGGGACAGGGACGGGTTTGAAAACCCCTGGCATAGACCAAGAAATGTCTTTGATGATCATTTTACTTTGTTTGCAGGTCTATAAGCTTCCCTTTCCAACCACTGCTTCCCAACGAAATTTGAAGATCTTGAAGCTTGGTGGAGAAAGTGGGAACCCAGCCAATGAGCAAACAGGACTTCAACAGCACGAGGATCCATCGTCTCCACCTGACGTGTCCTACCACGTAAAGGGACCAGTGAACGCGGTGTACTCGGAGATCTTCCTCAGCAGGATATGTGAGAATCACGCCGTCAATGGGACCATTCGCCAACAGTGACAAAAAGACATTTAGCGGCTGGTGACGCTAACCTGTGCTTGTTGTTCAGGTGTGTGTGTGAGTCTGTATGAGCTGTGAATATATATATGTGTGTGTGTGTGTGTGCTCAATGTGTTGAGAAAGGGCTAAACTGTGCACACCGATTGGTCTAAATCTACTAAACCATATGCTGTATCAAAGTGGTAAATTGGAGGGCGAGTTAGGTAGGTGTCTGTTTGCGCATGTGTGTTTCTGTGTAGAGCGATCCAGATGGAAAAGGGGTGTGGAGGGTTCAATGAGACCCCCTGAAGCCCTGTCAAAATGACTTTGGCAGCTGTGGCTTAAGGGCAGGCAGTGACTGCAGTGCGACGCTGATGAAAAATCTGTGAGACGGTCTTGCGGCACCTTCAAACAGCCTTTCAAAAACGTTCCTACAACGCTCATGCAACATTCCCACAATGCTGCTACTGCTGAACCATGGGCTGAAATGTTCCCAATAGGTTTTGGGAACGTTTTGCAGCTGCTATGGAGTGCCTTTGATGTCACCCTGCCTCACATTTTCACTTTTATGGAAGCTCGGGCAATGTTTTGAAGTCCAGCTTTACACCCCCTTTCCTTGACATGCCAGGTTCATCAAGTATTTATGAAGTATGTTCTATGCCAAAGGTCTTATGAAGTATATTTTATGTTTTAGTATTACTGTCTTATGTTCCTCACATATATTTCTACATTTATTTTTCTACCAGTGTTTTCTAGTGCCTTTAATAATAATCTGTGTAAAATGTTATAAATGCTATTTACAAAAAAAGAGTTTATTTATACTTTTTTGATGGTAAGAATTTTGATGGTAAGAATTTTGATATTGTTGCTGGATTTACTCTTAATTGCTGGAATGCATGATGTTTCAGTTGTCCATAATTTACGTTAAACAGGAAGTGGTTTGTGGAGAGAAAAATCAGCAGGATTTATTTGAAATGTCTCATAAAACAACTTATCTTCCCATCAGTTACTTGAAGTAAAATAAATGAACCCATGAACCTGCATGAGTTGACACGTAAAGATTCCGCAGCGCGTGATTACTCTCTTATTGACATGAGTTTTAGGGGCAATTTATTATGTTTTGAATGGCTGTGCCAATGTATCTGTCTGGTTGTAGCCTACATGAAATATGTGATTCCAACAATCAACATGAAATGTAACTTAACATCACAAACAATTAAAAACGTATTTTTCATAATTTAAAACAAATTGGTTCTTGAATTTATCAATTTTTTTGTATGTATATATTTAATTTGATTCTACCATTTAGGTCATAGGCTATTTTAGCAGGAAAATTATTTGACGTGTAGTGTAGTCCATGCAAACATAAAACTTTTGCTGAAAAAATAGAGCTTCATTGTCATTGTAAACAACCAGATTACAAAAAGTCACCATGCTCAGCTCTATTCTTGATCTATTAAAAAAAAACTTTTGTTGAAAAAGAAGAACCCTTTCTATTAAAATTTATTTAAAATAGCATTATCATATGCCTATTTATGACTATATAATTACATTTGTATCAACTTTTTACTTTCTAATGTTTTGTTTTTATTATTGATTATCTAAGGCAGTTTTTTCCCAACTTTTTTTGTACCCCCATGGTAAGACGCAAGTCCCCCTTAATCGAATCCGAAATATGGTGGTTTCGACTCATATATATCATTATGAAAAATCATTATTAAAGTAGGCTGTCAATAACTATGGGTGAAAACAAAATAGCACGTCAAAGTAACAAATATACTCTGTGCTCGTTTGCGTTTTAATAAACATTTTGTTTTGTTCTCTTAATTGGAAAGTATAATTAATAACATTTAGGCTAGTTGTTTAAGTTATTTCTGTTTTATAAGCAAAATCGAAATCCTTCCAAGTTCCAAGTAGCCTACCCCCGTTTGGGAAGCTCCGCTTTAACGTAGATCGAAATTACATGAAATATAGCCTATTCTCTAACTTTCCAATTCGGTCAAAATAAATAAAAATATATATAGGCAATAAATAAGTTTCACTGAATAAAAGATATATTTAAATTATTCATTTATTGAAGTTATGTTAATAGTCGACGCTTTTGAAAGTCATTGTATAATTTGAAGACTGTGGGCAGTTATTAAATCTCAACATTTTTTATTTGAAATGGTTTTACCCTGTCTAAGCGTCAGCGTTTCTGTTCTTCTGCCTTTTATGTCAACCTTGTTTTTTAAATATATGTTAAATATGTTCAGTTAAATACTAAAGTACGTTTTATTCCTAACACAGTCCTTTCAATCTCACAAAAACCCGAGTGTCCTTGATTCTTTCTCGCTTTGCTCTCTCACCGATCTCCAAGCCAACATCGCTTTGTCCAATCAGTGTTGACAACGGTCGTACCTTCTGAATATTAATGAACCTTTCCAACCAATCACGATGTGGGATCGCTGCACACGAGAGTGTTTAGTTGCGCGCTTTCCAACAGCAGTATATAACTGTTTGTGTCTATTTGAGTTCGCAGTGATGGCGAAGGTGACTTCTTGGAGGTTGGATGTTTTTTTTCGTACCTGCGACTTAATGGATACATGAAAGGAGACTTGTGAATTTAAAAGCACCGTTTGTGGATTACATACGCTAGATATTAGATGTAGTGGACCGGTATGAGACGTCTTTGTCCTAACGTTCAGTTCGGGACTTGTTAAATGAAGTGGACATGGATAATACCGGTTGTGGAATACATGCAATTTACCAATTATTCATTATATGGCTCTCAGTGTGCCCTCTGTGCTCTCAGGGAAGTTGGATGTAAGTATATAAGTGCTGTGTCGTTTTTACTGTCAAATAATGTTTCAATAAAATGTTTGAAAATTGTCTCCTTTTCCTCGGGCCTGGTTATGGCATTTCAATCCAGGCCGACAGGAGAGGAGAACCGCTTCTGATCTTTGTGTCACACTCCGCATCACAGGTGGTTGGGCATCACATCTGTAGGAGTGCCCGAGAAGTTGGGTTGCGCGCATTTGCCCCTGTCGCACAAGCAGAAGGAGCTGTGCGCGCGCAAACCGCACCTTCTACCGAGCGTTAAAGAGGGCGCGCGCCTGGGCATCACCGAGTGCCAAACGCAGTTCAAACACGAACGCTGGAACTGCTCGACCCGACGGGACCCGAACGTGTTCGGCTACGAGCTCACCAGTGGTATGCATGCAATGTCACATCGAAATAGATTTAATTTGAATGTCAATTTACTTTTTTTAACTAGCCTATGCAGTTAACTTTATTAATGAAAGTAAATAATATATAGTTTGTTTGACCAGCACATCTTAAAGAAATTGATAAAATAGTCCTACTAAAACTTAGGGGGACAGAGAGGATTTTTTTTTTAACATTTAAAAAAAGTGGGAATGAAAATTTATATTACAAACATTCACAAAAATCATTACATCGATATAATTATTGATACATTGAAAAAGGTGGAAATATCGTCAAACTTGAAAAGTTTGACGATCACTGTATTGCTAGTAAATTATTTATTTCAATATTATTCACCTTCAGATGTCAATAAAAAAATATTGTGTCTAAAAGCAGATTTTTTTTTAAATATGTAATGCATATATGTGGTGAATGGACACTTCAACTAAAAATAATCAATATCTTTAATTGTCATAAGAAAAACAAGTTTCTGTCATATAATGAGAGATCATCACTTTGTAATTGTTTAAAGCATCTGAATGTTTTAATTGACTGTCAATCCTATGTTTGCCCACTTAATGATTGATTTGAAATGCTGATTCATGTGTTGATCAGAGAGTTTATTCAGGGAATAACTGAACCCACAGCTGTTTCAGGTTAACCTCGATACTAAATTTACTATGGTCTTCAGCTGGCCCTGGATTTAATTCATACAGGATTAGAATGATTACAAAACAAAGAGTCGACCTGACATGCTAGAACGTGTTTCTTGATTTTTGTGAATTCATATAAGATTTACCCCAAGTTTCTGTCACAGAGCAGTTCAAATCCAAGCTCGAGTCAAGGGGAAACTGAATCTCGTGCTGTATACTGTACGTCTGATTTCCTGCTGCCACAACCGGGGTTTAGACTAATAATTGTATAGGCATCTTGCTATTATGTCTCATATGCACTAGATTTACCTTCACAAATGCAACAGTGTTTTGTCTATTCTATTCTAATTTAATTATAATTCTATTGTAATTTTATTCCAGTTATTTAGACTTCTTGCTCTATGTTAAGGTCATCTCTCTTGAAAAAAATAGAAAAAGATTATGGCAGATATTTTCTAGTAATTAAGACAAAGTCTACTTTGCTATGTTAAAGCAAATTATAAACCAAATTTCTTCAGAAATTATATGTGTTATAAATATATATATATTTATGTTAGCTATTAAAAATTAGCAGGAACTGCATGCATGATTTTATGAATAAATAATATAGACATGAAGTGATTTTTAATAAAAACTGAATTGAAAATAGATCTAAAATTATATAGTCATTGTGCCTTTTAACATAATCCATCCAATGCATATCAGAGATATTTACTTAATGTACAAAACAGTGACTTTAAAAATCACATCTTTTCAAAAGGCTGTTCAGAATTTGCTTACACTTTATTTTAGTGTCCTTGTTACACATGTAGTTAACTGTAAATTTTGCATAATTACGTGCAGCTAACCCTAAACCAAACCGTAAATGTATAATTGCATTCTAACAAGGACACCTTAAATAAAGTGTAACCCAGAATTTGTATAGCATCATCTGTTCTCACCATAAAACAAAATAAAAAAAAACCTTCAGCCAAACATTTTTGCTCATTTTTATAGTGGGATATCAGTGTTTCTCTGTATGAATGTAATTGACATTCCCAGACTCCTCTGCTCTGATACTGCTGCACTGTGAGACCCTTTTCACAAATGTCCTGCTGGGTATCTTACATTCCCATATTTTCTGGTTGTTTCAACATTTGTAAGTACTGGATCGGCATCTTGCTTACGTTCTCTTTTTTTTTTTTTTTTTTAAGGGACAAAAGAGACAGCATTTATCTACTCGGTAATGGCTGCCGGGCTGGTTCATGCAGTCACTCGCTCTTGCAGTGCAGGAAATATGACAGAGTGTTCGTGTGATACGAGCCTGTTGGGCAGCGGTTCGCCTACAGAGGGATGGCACTGGGGCGGGTGCTCCGATGACATCGCCTTCGGGACTTTGTTCAGCCGCCGCTTCATCGAAAATGCGGTAAAGAACACATCAGCCCGTGGTGAGGACGCCCTGCTCACTATGAACCAGCATAACAGCGAGGCTGGGAGACAGGTGGGTGACAGAACTAACCTTTCTATTGCGCATTGCTAGTTACAATAATGTTGAAAGAAAATGAGATGCACAACAATGACTGCTCGCTTATTTATAGAGATCTCAAAAAAGACTTTAATAAAGGCTTTACTAAGAAGTCATGGACTTAAACCAACCAACCCTGAGAGAAATAATAACATTCCAAACTTTATTTGTAACAAAAAAGTATATTAATTTAACAAATAGACAAAGGTACAAGACTTTGTACTTAACGTCTTTTATGAAGGCATAAACTAAAATCCCAAAAGTATTGCAAATGATGTAATCAATTCACTATGCTTCATGGGAATGTGTGGTCGTTGCTGAGCTCTTTTGCCGTAATTTCGGTTTCCATCGGGACTTCTTTGATCTCTTTTGAGATTTTTAAGTTGAAATCACACTGACTTGCAGCTTTTACAGAAGCATATGTCATTGCTTTATATAGTTATCATCAAATGATAATCATGTTTTTCTATGGAGTAAATGGGATTTTTAATTCGGTATCGTGGTGGTTGCCCTTCATTGAAATACTGAGAGAATTTCTTGCCTTTCCATTCACATTTTGAGTGACATATGTCAAGTTGAAGCATCAATTTGCATGTGACTTTGCTTGCCTGCTTCAAAAAGACAGCAACAGAACTAGTGAGCTCTCTTAGTTCAGGGCTATGTTTCCCGATATAGATGCTAATTCACTCTAATTGGAGAAAATATGAAAAGTGTGATAGTGGAGAAAATGTCCACTAGAGACCGCATTCTTGCAACATTCATAAAGCATTCAAGGTCTTCTTACAGCCTCGTTTATAAACGGCCTTGTATCATCACTAAAATTCAATATTGATGGTCCAACACAAGGTTTCCTCAATCACCTCAAGGTTTTATGCAAGACGACAAACTTGCATACTCTGTATTTTTTTTTTTACCATTTAAAATATGACAGTTTTCTCCAGCAAATGAATCTTTGACTTGTTCTAACTGACAATAGAAACTATTTCAAAACAGCCAAATAAGAACAGAAATAGTAATGGGCTGCTTCAGCTCTGGCAATTTGTCATTCAAATGAGTTACATCTCCCCACATGTTCTTGATTAATCTAAAAAGCTGATGATTTGCACCGAATTCCACAGCCTTGACTGAAGAACACTTGTAAGTGTTTGGAGACCCTAAACCACAGCTCTGGTTGGAAACCACCAAGGAGTGTTTAAGCTAGACAAAATTCCCCTCAAGTCAGCGAAGGGCCCCCGTAATCCTTCACCCAAACGAATGCTCCTATTTTATGAAAGTCGTCAGCTCACAAAATACTCCTTCCACTTACATGGTGGTGCAGAACATGCAGGAAAGGAAGGACATAAATTCTCCATCCTTAAAAATGATATAGTCCTTGGAAATGTGGTTTATAGTCAAGCAGGGTTTACTCTCCCCGAGTTTTACATTAGTTCCGCGTTTTTGCTTGAAGTCCAGGAAGTCTCAAAATAAATTGCGAAAATATTGGAAGGCTGAAATTGAATCAGTTCACATGTCTTACATAGAAAAACAAGCTGCTCTCCTGATCTCAGTTTCTATCTGTTGTCAATCACATATATAATGCTCTCCGTATCCTATTCCTCTACAGGCGGTGGCCAAAACAATGTTGACAGACTGCCGCTGTCATGGCGTGTCGGGTTCGTGTGCGGTAAAGACGTGTTGGCGCACAATGGCCCCGTTTGAGCGTGTGGGTGCCTACCTGAAGGAGCGCTACGAGACCAGCGTTCAGGTGGTGGAGCGCTCCAAACGTAAGGTGCGACGTAAGGACAAAGACCAACGCCACATGCCTATCGAAAAAGAGGAGTTAATATTCCTCAACAAATCGCCAAATTACTGCTTGGAGGACCGACGGTTGGGCGTGACGGGGACCAGGGGCCGCAGGTGTAACAGAACTTCAGTCGGGCCGGACGGCTGCAACCTGCTGTGCTGTGGCCGGGGCTACAACACACACGTGGTACGACACGTAGAGCGCTGCGAGTGTAAGTTCGTCTGGTGCTGTTACGTTCGGTGTCGGCGCTGTGAGACGATGAACGACATGCACACTTGCAAGTAGAGCAACTACTTGGGGAGGGTTGGAAAGATCTCCTGAGACGAGACCTTGTGAGAGGAAGTGGACCTTCTCTGCGCCGTTGGGCCTATCAAACAAGTATGTTGACAAAATATCCATGGCAACCAGAAATCCACAGCGAAAACCTGGGAGAAATGGTATAATCCGCTTTAAGTACACGTGCGGAACTCTTCCCATGGGCTTCAAATGGGAATCAAGCCATTTTGTATATAATGACTGTGGAATATAACTGGAGCATAAAGGGAACTGAAATACTGAACTGCAGAGAAAAGTGTAAATAGATGAGTTTTTTTGGAGGGGGGGGGGGGGGGGGGGGGGGGGGGGGAGGGGGATATAGAGGCTCCTTCAGTTAATGATGAATTATAATGGGAATTATGTAGATAATATGCAAGGATATTTTTGATATGTAGGTTCCAAATGAGAATCCCTTAAATAAATAATTCCCAAAGGATGTATTCTGCAATTTTAGCTTTGTTTTCTGCATTTAAATGTATATATTAAATTATGAACAATCGACATATTCGATTACAATTACACCGCGTTTTTGAGTTTGAAAAACTTAAATAAAATTAGTTTTTTAGAGACCATGAACATTCTTTTTGCTTTTGACTGTTGATGTTTCTCCGTCTGCTCCTTCCATCCTAAATAAATAAATGCGAATAATTCCCGAAAGTGTAGAGAACGGGGGTGTTCTGCAGTTGCAGCTTTATCGATTTACAATTTAAGTGAATATTCCAAATTATAAATCATGGTTGTTGTCTTTCTAGTTCTTATTTCTTGTGACTGATGTTTGTGTCTCATTCGTTTCCTCTTAAGCTGTAATCCCACACACACACATCTCTGAAAAAGTAGTGCTTTGCTAGAAGTAACAGAGTTGTGCCAAATACCATGGTTGCATTCTCTTAAAAGGCTCTTAAATGCTAATGCGAATGGCCCTTTTATGTAGCCACATTCCAAGCAACGGGACGGTGACAATTTACGGCAACACACGCAGAACATATCAGAGATCTTCTGTCCAGTGACACAAGGAAAAATTCCTGTCAGTTCTTGCACATGCTGGCAAATCTATTAAAGTCGGTGGAAAATCTCACTCACGTTGCATTTCGTGATTTCACTCTGAATGCCTTCTTGTTCATTCTCATGTGGTTGTATTTACCGCTGAGTGGAAGTTGCATCAAGCTTTCTTAAAAACTTTTTTTTTTTTTTTGTGTAAAATCACTTAAGACTATTCTCTACAGTGATTCTCACAAAGACTCTCAACCCAATTCCATCCAATAAATGAATGCCTTTTGGAAATGTTGCCTTTTCACACACTGTTTTAACATAGTATGTTCCCCATAGAACATATTTCTTGATATCTGTGAAAATCTCTATATTCTTCTTTCCAAGAAAAAACACGTTGTTCTTTGTAAGTTCTAGTTACGAATCTTGTCATAATTTCGGCTAATTCTTCGCTTTGTGGGCAACACGTTGACCAATCACAGACAACATCTTGTAGGCCAAATCAAATCCATTGAAATCTTGAAATAATCACTGCAACTCTCCAGGTACATTTTCAGGAGCAGCGCTGAGAACCTTCAGCCCTGGAAACTTGGTGGCAACCCATTCTGGAGAGAGACATCATGCAGGCGAAAGGAGTCCACGTGTACGCATCTGTTCTCTCTGATGTAGCCAACAACTCAGGTGGCTGCCAGACCTTCGGTGCCTTCTTTCACCCCTCTCATTCTTTTTAGTATGCGTTTAATGGTTAAATCATGATTTGTCAAATTAAATCTGCTGTTCTTCAATATTGCCTTTTCAGGTTTTGTTCTGCCATTGCTAATGAGCTGAAACTGTTTCTTAACGTTCTGGAAGTGTAGTTTGGTGAGGAAAAACCAGCTCCACAACTGTTAAAACAAAGACAAATATTTCTGCAGATGAAATTCAGTAATAATCAGCAATTGAAGAATATCCGTATACTTTAATATAATTATTCAGCCTTTTTTACTGTTTGCTGAGTCCCAGAGGTTTTTTGAGGCATGTCCATGCAATATTTTACATTTCTTTAATGTAAGATGAATATAATTATTTTTTCTGAAAATTTTTGTGCTGTTGAGTAGAGACTGAAAGCAACACAGTGGGTGGTGCGACCACATGCACACACGCACAATATGTTTTGGATGTAAGTTTGATCCACGCTGCCCTGTGGAGACCGGGGTCATTGCTCTCTTCCTGATCATCGTTCATCTTTTGTCTCATATGTGAATGATCAGTTATGTCCATCCAAGCATAGCATTACATCCGAAGCCAAGAGTCACGCTTTTTCCACTGGCCCATTCCTGCACGCTCTATGGGTGGTGCCATGCTCTATACGCCTTCCCAGAAGTCTGTAGGGGCTCGTGGCTGTGTCTGGTTGTGTTGGTTAAGGCCTGAGGGGTTTTGGATTGGCGGCACCGTTTTCCTGCCAATAACTGTTGCTTGAATGTCGAAAATTCCCACAACAACTGCTGTAGTCAATGTTAAGATTCTACACACGTCCTTTAGTTCTCGCTCTGCCTTAATTCATTCTGTATGTTTTCTTTTTTTCTTACTATATCTCACCATACTGCTATGAAGTGATTGTTTAAAGCAATTCATCAGTCATTCTGATCATATATGAAATGGGTTAACTTTTCTTGTATACATATGGGGGGAATATGAACAGAATGGATCTATCCATCAGTGACATGATGGTATCTGCCTCCATCTGGTGGATCACATAGTCTTGCCAGAGAAGACCACAAGAGGGAGATGAAGATCATTATTTCAGCACCCACACTCTTGGTTAACTTTTTGTTATAATCAAATTCCTTTAACTTTGTTTTGAATTTGTCCTGAATACTGTCTTAAATAGATGAGGCAAAAAGTTAATGAAAACGTGCAAAACACACGTAAAACAATTATAACGAGCATTTTTCTTTTGCATTATTATTTTACAAATCATGGAAAGGAGCTACACATATTTAGTAGCCAGCACAAATGACGTTGCTCTATATATGACCATTTTTACATTAAAATGCATGTAAAATTTTGCTTATGCATTTTACATTTTGCTTATATTTTTTGAAAGGAAGTAGTTTAGTAGCAGCTAGGCGATTCATCACACGCGGTGCTTATGTTTTTCCAACCTCATTTACAAACTGCATATATGGTACCTCCTGGGTATTTTAATTTCCCAAAATATTCTCAGAAAACGGACTTCAAGTGCTCGTAGGCTATGCGGTTCGCACATCTGGCTTCTGAAGTCGAGTGAAAAAAAGAGATAGCCTAGCAATTTACAGAATAGGCCTATGCCTATTTATACCACGGGCCCGGGGCTGTTGAGTCAATGCTTGAATATGATTGGTGGTCGGTGTTTTCATGGTTGCAATTATAAAAAATATATTACACGTTCAAAGTTTCCGCCTTAACATAGTAAAAATTATGTTCGTGCCTATATAGGCCTACTAAAGAAACACGTTCAGAATTGTTGCCTTAACACGGCCAGAACGTGCGTGGCTAACTTACTCTTTCTAAAGAAACTCGTTCAAGTTGCCGCGTTTGACACAACCGCAGACACATCACGCGTTCTGTTTAAAGACACTGTTCAAGTCACCTTTATTCATAGCTTTATTATACAATATAGTTTGTTTCAAACGTTCGCGTTTCATATTCGGAGTTATTGTCCCCATTCGCTCCTCGAATGAGCAAATTTTGCCACTAAAATCAACACAAGGGATTTGGAAACAACAACAAAAGAATGGAGATCAGAAGGTCCCTGCGTTTGTACATGGTAAAGTATCATAGATCTTAAAACGCAAATTTAGCTTTATAATAAACCTGGCATTGTGCACTCTCTTGGCTCGTTGGCAAATTGCTAAATTGCTTTTGTCCCTCTATTGTTTGTAAGCGTCTTTCTGAACAGTAAACTGACTTGGTCGAATTAGTACGCCTGGCCTATAGGTTCATTGATGCCATATTGTATAGCACATTGTTCTTGTGGTTGGGGTGTCAATTACAGTTTAAATGGGGTAAAACCGTTAGATTTTTTACAGCTGGTTGGGAGTCAGTCCATTTAGGGTAGTTTCCAGAGAACCATTTTAAATATCTTTTGGATGGTAGGCTTCTAGACAATTGAGTGGGTGGTCATGAAGGTTTTAATTTGTTTATGCACTTGAAAAACAACAAGCAGCACATGAACAGATTGAAAAGCATTGTGCACACTCACACGATTATAAAACATATATACTGCATAAACCTATATCCAAATATATGCAGTGCACACACATGTAATTCCTATGAAAGTTCTGGAACTATGAAAGGAAAGTCATGATGCAGCATTACATACAGGAAGTGTGTGTGTGTGACAGGGTATCTTCACCTGACCACTTGGCTTATTTATGAGTGAGGACATCCTGTGATTCTTCTGCCTTCTGCTTTATTTGTTCAGTTCATAAACACACGTTTTTCAATGCTTCTGGGAATCGACCAGCTTCTTCCGAGCCTTCTACTGGGTTCAACTGGATAATTAACCATAAACTATTCAGCAAAAAGTTGTCATTTTGTATTCAGAATCGTAAATGTGTTGCACCAATGCCAAAATCATGGTGTTTCTCTCTTCTTGATGAGACCAAGATTTCATGCTGCAAAAATCATGTTTGTTTCTGGCATTTTCTGGTTTTCCAGTAAAAATATGTAGACATCTTTCAAATTAGATTCATTTACTTCAAAGTCATAAATGTGCATTTCTTGAACTAATTTTATTTTTATTCCCCTATTGTTTTTTTCTCTCTCTTTTTTAAAACAAGAAAAAAAATACTTATTTACGACAAACATTAAACCATTCAAAATAAACGTAAGTATATATTAAGACCAACACATTAATAATTTAGAGGGGAATACCAAAAAAATACCAAACAAAAAAAAATCCTCAAAGAAATAGGCTATTTCTGCGGATACTTTGTAAGAAATGAGGAGAGTATGAAGATTAAGAATGAGTAGATAATTGTTCTGAAAAAAATTGAAATATTATTTTCTTTTCTTTTATTCTTCATCTGCAGTGCACTTGTCATCTCACCACAACATCATATAAAATCTTTCTCTGTTTAATGTCTTTCTCTGGTCTACATGTTAATGAAAGAGTGAAGGATTTATGTGTAATAATGTGAAGTTATGTGTCCGAATTTTTAGGGGAAGGTGTCGCCCTCTGACTCTCATGTTGCTGTGGTACAGGAAAGAGAGAGGGAGGGATTGTTGAAAAGGCAGAAGGCCAGCATGTGTGGCCACAGTCTGGT